GAAACATCACCAAGTTAGCTATAAATAGACCTTCAAATCCCAGAATATTTACTTACGAAATTTTCTGAATCTTCTTCTTCTTCTGCACAAAATATTCCAGTGTGTTTTACGACCACCGAGTGGTTCGCCGATCACCAGAGTTTTAGGTACCGATACACTGGTGAGTTAAATCGTTCTATCCTGGGAGGATATATTCCATAACCTCGGGTACTTGAGGGGAATAATTTCCTTAAGGACACACTGTGTATTCAGTGGGCTCGATTTGTTCCTTCAACGTTCCAAAAATTATTTTGAAGTTCGAATATCATTTTTCAGAATTGTTTCTACTAACTTTCTGTTTTATTTTTCAGAAAGATTACTGTTTTATTTACTTACAGCAATACAGATAAATAACACTTCATTAATTTGCAGGTGCATATGCACAGAACAATTAATACATTGTATACGGTCGAAATCGTATACCTCCGATCTATGGGCTCAAGGGGTCATTTTAAGCCCGAGTTCGGGCAAGGTCGAGTTCGAGCTCGAGCGACCAAATCCGAGCTCGAGGACAGAGTGCAATGTGATAGAATATATGAATCTACCAAAATATATATAGACCAGGTTATCTATGAGTTTCCACTGAGAAGCTAATCAAACAGTAAGTAAATACGACAGGGAGTTTTTACGTGGAAAAATCCTGCTCAAGGGGATAAAAACCACGACCTACACTGGTAGGATTTCAATTTCACTATGAGCAACTTTTAGATTACAACCTATGCAATCTAGGAATTAAACTCTTAATCCCTCACTAACTTTTAATACACGTATTACAAGCCACTTTGCAATACACCTATTACAAAGACTTCAACTCATGACTAACTCTAGTCACGAAACAAACACTAAGGGTTTATGGTTTTACAAAGGGGTTCCTAAGCAACGCTTCTAGATAAGCAAATTAGGAATTACAATGAAGAACAATTACAAAGTTACAACTTAACTACGGACAACAATATACTAGATTTAGGAACTGGACCGTAGTAGTGTTAAACTTTGTTCTTGATGCGCTTGAGAATTGAATGCTTGATCAGTGAACGGTTGGAGTGCTTGAACGGTAAAGTTGATTCTCAAGTGTTCAAGTAATGTTTTGTTGTAATGCTCTTTGTTAATACAACATGGATGACATCACTCGAGTGATGTAATCACTTGGTAGGTCAAATGAGAAGTGACTGCAGAACCTGCGCTGCACTGTTTTTGTGTACAGTGCAGGTAGTCACTTTCCAGCTGTAGACAGTTGACTTCGTACTGCTGTCAGGGAAACACAAGGGTATCAGGTCCCTGCGTTGATTCTCTATCTTCTGAAGTCGTACCAGTTCTCATTAGCTGGAATCCGTTGATTTGAGTTGTGTACCACATGAGTCAGGTTCCTTATCTGGTTCTGTGACAGTAAGTTTGGTATCTGAGTTGTGCACTGTTTCTGTGTACAGTGCCTGCAGTCACTTTCCAGCTGTAGACAGTTGACTTCGTACTGCTGTCAGGAAAACACAAGGGTATCAAGTCCCTACGTTGATTCTCTATCTTCTGAAGTCGTAGCAATTCTCATTAGCTGGAATCCGTTGATTTGAGTTATGTACCACAAGAGTCAGGTTCCTTATCTGGTTCTTTGACAGTAAGTTTGTTAGATCATCAAAACACAAAGCTAAGGCATTGTAAACCCATCAATTTCCCCCTTTTTGATGATGACAAACTTAGAAATTGATAACGCATGTTTAGAGCAAAATTAACCAGATGAAGTAACAGGAACTTCACAAGTTCCCCCTAACTTTATACTTCCCCCTTAAACAGATCCCTGTTTTCCAAATTATACACATGAAGCAACAGGAACTAGTTCCCCCTAACGTTATACTTCCCCCTTTTGGCATCATTAAAAATACACAAACATGCAATCAACATAAAGAAGTCTAGCATAGCTAACTCATGCCACATATGTGCGCACAACATGATAGAAAAAAGAGAAGCAGAGACATAGAAATATTAAACAGCAAAAAGAGGATAGTTTTTACAAAAAAAATATGCCTTTGCTATACAACAAAGGCATAAATTGGACTGATTTCAGCGGGGGCAGTACAAGTACTTCCCATCCATACCAAGTACTTCTAGCAGAAGATCTATGAGAAGAAGAAGCCCTAGTTCTAGAGAACGAAGGAGTAGTAACACTAGGTTGAGAAGAAGAACCACGAATAGATACAGACCCTAAACTATATAATCCGCCACCTTTTCTACTTCTAATAGGAGCAGATGAAGGGGGAAGTTCATCTACTATAACTACTTTACGAGGATCGAGTCCCTACGTTGATTCTCTATCTTCTGAAGTCGTAGCAATTCTCATTAGCTGGAATCCGTTGATTTGAGTTATGTACCACAAGAGTCAGGTTCCTTATCTGGTTCTTTGACAGTAAGTTTGTTAGATCATCAAAACACAAAGCTAAGGCATTGTAAACCCATCAATTTCCCCCTTTTTGATGATGACAAACTTAGAAATTGATAACGCATGTTTAGAGCAAAATTAACCAGATGAAGTAACAGGAACTTCACAAGTTCCCCCTAACTTTATACTTCCCCCTTAAACAGATCCCTGTTTTCCAAATTATACACATGAAGCAACAGGAACTAGTTCCCCCTAACGTTATACTTCCCCCTTTTGGCATCATTAAAAATACACAAACATGCAATCAACATAAAGAAGTCTAGCATAGCTAACTCATGCCACATATGTGCGCACAACATGATAGAAAAAAGAGAAGCAGAGACATAGAAATATTAAACAGCAAAAAGAGGATAGTTTTTACAAAAAAAATATGCCTTTGCTATACAACAAAGGCATAAATTGGACTGATTTCAGCGGGGGCAGTACAAGTACTTCCCATCCATACCAAGTACTTCTAGCAGAAGATCTATGAGAAGAAGAAGCCCTAGTTCTAGAGAACGAAGGAGTAGTAACACTAGGTTGAGAAGAAGAACCACGAATAGATACAGACCCTAAACTATATAATCCGCCACCTTTTCTACTTCTAATAGGAGCAGATGAAGGGGGAAGTTCATCTACTATAACTACTTTACGAGGATCGAGATTTGGAGAAGACATGTTTGTATAAGAAAATAATACGACCTAATGAACAAGAAGTACTATGAAAGAATAATACTGTAGATTGAAGGTTTTTGGGAAAGCAAAGGTATAAGGAGGTATTTATACAAAGAAGAAACTGTCATTCGAAGGGGTTCATGATGGAAACGTCATAATAAAAACAGTCACTTCATGACTGATGCAGTCGCAGAAAAGCCCTAAAAACCGCCGAGGAGTTGCAGACCCAATCAATGTATGCCACATGTCGCAGATATTAAATGGAATTGACATACGATGAGTTGGTTCTGAAGATGACATAATGATACATAAGAAACGACGGGAAAAATTCCCGCCATAAATGTGATCCACTTCCCAAATATTCAATTGCTGAATAATTGGTAAGTGGGGGGGGAGGGGGGGGGGACTATCTGTATTGGTAAAAATAAATATTACACGTGAATTTATATAAGTGGCTGATGTGGCAAGACACGTGGATCATTAAGAAAGCGACAACTGGAGAGATGCATTAAAAGAGACATGAATCGTAATAGGTAGGAGCAATCACCCACGAGACAAAAAGGTATGGTAGCTCAAGTCTAAATTGCTATACGAAGAAACACCGGCATAATGAATCAAGACAGTAAAGAATGAAGATTCATGAATCGCCAGTTAATGTGCATTAATGATCATAGACGTTACAGAATCTTCGTAAACAGTTACGCTTACCAATTATAACGTCTCATTAATGTCATTAATATTCATAATGATTCAGTTATAAAAGGGAAGAGACGTTGTACTTATAGATTCCTGTATAAGGAAAAGGGATTTCACTTGTAAGGACACGTTCTGATTATTATTGGAACACAATTATTTTCTTTTGCTTTCTATTGATTACTTTGCTATTTCATTTCCTTTCTTATTACTGAGAAAATATAGAATTTCTTGATTATCAGTAGTCGAGTACTTCTAAAAATAATCTTTTGACCGAAGTACACAATTTTTTGGTTAAACAGTACTTATTAGCCATACTTATTTTAGTAAACTTAGAAATTTTAGATTATGTTCATTTTTATTATGGCCTATTAATAATAATTTTTATGCGATTTTATTATCTTCATTTATTGAATGTTTTAGTACAATGTTATGAATGATGTTATATTTTATGTTATTTTCTTGAAAAACATATTATATAGTTCTATCTTATTTGGATTAAAGATTTGGAGCGCAAATTCTATATGTTGTGCTATGAAGACTTTGTTAAAAAAAATCCGAAAAAACCCGAAAGCTCGAAAAACCCGACTTTTATTGATTTGGTTTGGTCTTTAGATTTAATAACCCGACACAATTGGTTTGATTTGGTATTTGAAAAACCCGAACCAATGGTGGTGGAGGGGAAGAAAATTTTAGGAGTGGAAAAAAAATTAGAATGAAGGGGTAAAATGGGTTAGGGGTGCTGAGGTGGCATGCCACATACATATACCTCATCAAATATCAGTGTAACGTATGATTGGATGTCCATCTTGGACAAACTTAATGGACAAAGGGTATATTTGAACCAATAGTATAACGGCAAGTATAAATTTGAACCCAAAGTATAACGAATGATATATTTAAATATTTTCTCATAGTATAGGGATATATTTGACCCTTTTTCGGTTTTTTAATTAATTGGGTATCTTATAACAAAACAAAATTACAAATCGTCCTTGTTGATTTCATGTAACCATTTCCATAAAGGTATTTTCCAACTATAAAAATATTCCCACAATTATTTTCTTTTACAGAGTTAATAGATTAACACTAGGTTTATAGATTCAACTCATGACAATGTGCCTTTTTAATATCATAACATTAACCAAATAATAAATACTACTCCAAGAGGAAATAAGTAGTTGGTTCATCACACACAGAGAGTGTACAAGAAGAACACACTAAAAGGGAACTTTCACTTAGTTAACTCCGCCACCTCCAACGGAGCTCTCAAAGCTAACACTATAATATATCTCCTTCCTCACAACCTTCCCCTGTTCCCCCCACATTTCCTCTCCAGTCTCCACAAAGCTCTCAACCCTAATCACAATGCAGTCTTCAATTTCTCTCTCGCTATCTTCTCCATCGACGGTCTGCAGATCGGACTGCTCCGCTGTCGCTTCCAATGCGAACGTCACTTTGCTGACTTCGCCACGATCACTTCGATTCTGTGGTCTTAGAAGGGAGGCTTTTGGGTTCAAATCATTGAATTCGTCTGTTCATACGCGTTTCCAATCATCTAAGACTACGAGGCTTTCGTGCTCCAACAGAATCGCGGCTTCTTTGGGTGGAAATGGAGCTCCTTCCAAGGGTTTTGATTATGATCTGGTTATTATTGGAGCTGGTGTTGGTGGTCATGGTGCTGCTCTTCATGCCGTTGAGAAGGTATACTACTATTGTGTTGTTGAATTCTGTTAGTACTAGCTTATTGATGTTGGCTGTCTCTGCTTTCTTTACTAATCCAAATGCTTTTCTTTTTTCATGAACTAGTAATAGAAGGTGCTTAATTCGGCTATATTACTGAACGTAGCTCTTGAATAACGAATCGCTTGTAGAAATCATGAATGCAGTTACTTTAATGACTGGGGATTTTGAAATGGAAAATGGCGACAAGATTCTTGGATAAACTCAATGAATAAATAAATAAATAACCAAAGGAAGAGAAAAGAAAAGAAAAAAAAATATGACGCGGTGATGCTTATTGCTTAGTGAACTCCTATAAAACATCAATTTCACTTGTATAATTCTTGGAAATTTTTCATTGTGAGATCGTTGAAGCCTGGATAGCATGAGAAGAACTTGGGTTGAACTAGATGGTTCTGTTTCTATTTCCAGCGAATATTGTGCATAATTACTTAAGGATCTTTGCAGGGCTTGAAAACTGCTATCATCGAAGGGGACGTAGTTGGAGGAACATGTGTAAATAGGGGATGTGTTCCTTCCAAAGCTCTTTTAGCTGTGAGCGGGCGCATGCGGGAGCTTCAGAATGAACACCATATGAAGTCTTTTGGTCTCCAGGTATTTCTTATTCTTGCTCCTATAAGCCTAATATGTTTAGGTTCTGTCATGGGGTCCTGACATGGCATATGTTCTTTTACAACAACAACAACCCAGTGAAATCCCACTAGTGGGCTCTGGGCATATGTTCTTTTAGAGAAAGAAACATTGTTTGATCGTTTGGCATATGTCGGTTAACATAACTGTTGTGGTATTTGTTACATACTCACAATACTTAAGACTTCATGAGGTAATTCAACATGGAAAGTTTGGGAGCAAAAGCTATGAGGCACAATACTAACTTCTGAACTTCATATTGGTACAGGATACAACATGCCCCATATCTTACTATTATTATTATTATTATTATATTATTATTATTATTATTATTATTATTATTATTATTGTTGTTGTTGTTGTTGTTGTTGTTGTTTTTGTTATTATTATCACTATTATTAATATCCTTACTTTGGAGATGAGTACACCGGAATTGGGTGCATTGGAGTCAAAGTGGGATATTTTTCGGCCAAAATACAATTTTAAACAAAAATCAGAATTTTTTATGACTAAGTTGGAGATGCACCCCTGTTTCTAATGTGATTGACGTTTCCGTCTAATATCTAATGATTTTTAATAAAGATGTTGAGTGATTTCAATTCATAGCTTATACTGTTTTGTACAACTGATAGAATGTGCGTTCGTACTTTTCACTTGTGTTGCCGACAGTTATTAATTTTTTTTGTTATAATATCTTTAAATTGTAAACATATAATGACAATTATGAAAAAAGCACCCACCGATGTGGCCTAATGGTCAATGAAGTGGGTGGAGAACCATGAGGTCTAAGGTTCGAGTTCTAGCAGAGACAAAAAACACTAATTGATTTCTTCCCATTTGCCCAAGCCTTGGTGGGAGGAATTATCTAGTACCTGTCGAGGTGGGAGGCAATAGGTACCTGGTGAAATATTCGAGGTATGTGCAAGCTAGCCTGGACAACATTGTAGTAAAAAAAATTATGGAACAAAGATTATATACTGTAATGAAGTTCGTATCTGATCCTCATATCTCTAAATCTTTTTGTACTTTCATGTCATACCCCTACTGGGTACTATACAGTGACAAAGCACAACTCAAAATTGGGAAGTCAGATTTGTGTATTTACCCTAGTATTTGGGAAATACAGAACATGATAATGGTTGTTTTGTGCCTCTTCTTTTGGGGTGTATATAAGGCAACAATGATTACTGAACTCCCATAGCAGTGACATTCATAGATCATTTATTCAGGAATTAGGAGTAAAGTTAGATGAAAAAATTCATGCATAAACTAAAACAACCGATACGTGTTTCTGGTACCTAACCTACTTATTCTGTTTAGATGAACTTAAGACTATATGTTCTTTGTTAATTAAGTTGCATCTAGTAAGGAAGCTCGAGTGTCCTCCTAATGGAACTGTTAACTCAGGTCTTTCAAACTCATTTTTTAGTCTTTTGCTCTTAGTTCTGACTTTATATATCTACTGTACTTATGGTACATCACTTATCTTTCATGTAAGGTTGCTGCCGCTGGATATGACAGACAGGGTGTTGCTGATCATGCAAATAATTTGGCCTCCAAGATTCGTAGTAATTTGACCAATTCAATGAAAGCCCTTGGTGTGGATATATTGACAGGTTTTGGAACAATTTTGGTATGTTTATATTTTACAGATTACTATTATCTCTTAGCCTCTTTTGTTTGTAACCAGTTGGATTTGGATGATGAAGATTTTGTTGTGCTTTTTCAGGGTCCACAAAAGGTCAAATATGGAGATACTGTAATAACAGCAAAAGATATAATAATTGCAACTGGTTCTGTCCCCTCCGTGCCCAAAGGCATTGAGGTTGATGGTAAGTGATTTCTCTTGATTGTTATGTCTGTTCAGGATGCAATAAGCAACTGAATTATCGAGTTGCAAGTCTTTTTTACGTATGATATACTAAAGGTTGCAGCCTGCTGAATAGCTGGTATTTCTTGGATGCTTCATGCTTAACATCTTAATACTCTTGAAATCAAAGTTTTTAATCGTTGGAAACATCAATTAATGGGATGAAGATTCTAAGATTTGTTGAAAGTGGAAGTTCTATAGATCCATTTTTTATTCAATAAACTTGTGAAGTAGCATATACACTGCTTGCAGAAAAAAACCTGTTTGTAAGACTTGGTTTTACTATCTACTACATTTCTTGAGCATATATGTTAAGAGTTTTTACGGAAGATTAGGTGCTAAACTCCTAAACATGTTGGCGGAAGTTTTTGTTCACTCATTGTTCAGTAGCTCTGTGGATGTGTCTGGCAATGCTCAATTGTCGTCTACACAAGTGATATAACATTACTTGACTGGCATTGTACCGAATTTTTTGCATCAAGATTTGGAATTGATTTTCCGACAATTACTTGAGCTCATCTATGTTGAAATTTTGGAAAAGATTTAGACATGAGAGATATAGAACTTCTATCATTAAATGATGCCGATGCTTGCTTTTGCAGGTAAGACAGTGATAACAAGTGATCATGCACTCAAATTGGAATTTGTACCTCAATGGATTGCTATTGTCGGAAGTGGTTACATTGGACTAGAATTCAGTGATGTGTATACAGCACTTGGAAGTGAGGTAAAGCCTATTATAGTTTCTGCAAGACTGTATCTGTAGCAACAGAACATCAATCTTTTCTTTCATAATCTGTCTTTCTATGCTGACCACTGGATAACTGCGCAGGTTACCTTTGTTGAGGCTCTAGATCAGCTCATGCCCGGCTTTGATCCTGAGATTGGGAAGTTGGCACAGCGAGTCCTCATAAATCCTCGAAAGATCGATTATCATACAGGTGTATTTGCAAGCAAGGTAATATAGGCACATACTAACTTGAACCCCTACACGCCGACCAGTTACCTTAATTTTGTTGCACCTTCTTCAGATAACTCCAGCAAAGGATGGAAAGCCAGTGACTATTGAGCTTATTGATGCAAAGACTAAGGAACTCAAGGATACATTGGAAGTAAGTTGTAGCTTTTTGTTCAGAGGAGTTTAACATTGTTATTTTCAATTCATGATTTTGGATGGAAGCTGTATCCTTTTGGTCTCGGATCATGGTTACTGGTTAAGATCATAAATCTTAAATCATGTCCAACTATAAACAAAATAACAAATTAATAAATCTAAAGTCTTTGGATTGTAAAGTTACCTTTAATGAGTATTTCTGCGACATCATAGGTCTCATTCATCCTTTAAGCTTTATCATTGTTTGTCTGACCTGTTTATCGGGGAAAAATCAATGTTGGATTAACCTGTCTATAGGTACTTTGTTGCAAGACTATACACTTTTGATAAACACAGATTGTTATATGAGTTAATTAAGCACACAGCTAAAGTCGGTGGTATAAGATAACTTTGATTACTGGATAGACTGTATCAGCTTAGCAACATTCCTGCAACACGTCATTGTAAGACTATGCAGGTAGTACTTTCTGAATAGTGGTAACATCAAAAGAGGGAGAACGTCTTTGCTCTCGTTGTTGCGTGCATTTAGATTTAAGATCTTGTTTTCCACATTTTCTGTACTCTGCAGGATACTTGGTTCCTGTCACTAGCATCTGATAAATTCCCAAATATTTTATCCTGCTGCAGGTAGATGCTGCTCTAATTGCAACTGGAAGGGCTCCATTCACGCAGGGACTTGGCCTGGAAAATGTTAGTTGCATGCATGTTTACAGAAACTAACTTTATAAATGTTGTGACTTCTAATAATTTTGTTTTCTACACAGATAAATGTTCAAACACAACGTGGATTTATTCCTGTTGATGAACGGATGTGTGTTATTGATGCCAATGGAGAGTTGGTAAGCATGAATATCTTCTTTTTTTGGGATTTCTCTAGTCAATTTTCTTTCAACTCATTAGGCTTTGTGGTTGCTAGGTCCCTCACTTGTATTGCATTGGTGATGCAAATGGAAAAATGATGCTTGCACATGCTGCAAGTGCACAAGGAATCTCTGGTAACGATCTCGTGTGACATCAACTGCTGTGTTTATTGTTGAGCAAGTTTCCTGTAATTGTTTAACATTTGGCCTTTTCTTCTTACATAGTTGTTGAGCAAGTTACTGGAAAGGACCACATCCTGAATCATTTAAGCATTCCAGCTGCATGCTTTACCCATCCTGAAATCAGTATGGTCGGATTAACAGAGGTACAATAATTTCTCTGTGAATAGTAGGTTTTTCCTTGTTCACTTTCTTTGCTGGTTATATCTGGATAATGTTTGTTCTTTAGATATCGTTTCATTTCATGAGTTACAGCACTAGAAGGAAAATTTATTGTTTAACATTATTTTTGTATTTTTAGGGTGTTCAGCATATATAATAAATAATGGTTAGTTTAATGAGTCTATTTGTATATTGGTCTGATACTGGACACTGGAACTTACACAAGAGTGCCTACTTTATGCACCTACAAACACTTGATGTGTATGCAAACTCACTGAAGGATATATGCTTGTTAACATTCAGTCTTTCATACTGGGTTAATTTTTTAGTTTTCAATTGCATTTTGCTTAAAAGTGTTATTGTTTTGTTGCCATTTTGTAGCCTCAAGCCAGAGAAAAAGCTGAAAAGGAGGGCTTTGAGATTGGTATAGCCAAGACTAGTTTCAAGGCTAACACAAAAGCCCTTGCTGAAAATGAAGGGGAGGGAATTGCAAAGGTGGCCATGTCATCTTTTCTAATTCATTGTTCATGGATTGTGTATATGATACTTAGCTACTTCTTGGAGTTCGTTTTTTGTTTCTGAATGGTTTTAGTCTGTTTCTAGTATGAAGTATCCCAAGATTAGTAGTATTGTTTTGTTCATTGAAATGTTTGTCTGATGCAGATGATATACAGACCCGACAATGGGGAGATCCTAGGAGTTCACATCTTTGGAATGCATGCTGCGGACCTCATACATGAAGCATCCAACGCCATAGCTATGGGAACACGTATACAGGTAGACGTCACATTCCATTGCATGTTCCTCCTAAAAAAACAGTTCTGTGGAAATATTTCAACTGAATTGGGTAGAGATTTTGGTATTGTATTGGAAAAGAATTTCGGTCTTGTTTTTCTTTCAATAATGAAATTCTAAATCTTTTCTTGCAACATTGCGATCTTCAGCAGGAATCCAGAATCATGAATCTCATGGGAAAGATAATAAATACCAATCACATTTTTAGCAACATTATCCAATTTTGCTTTATCATTTTAATTGCATCTTGCAGGACATAAAGTTTGCTGTTCATGCACATCCAACCTTGTCTGAAGTGATTGATGAACTCTTTAAGGCAGCAAAGGTAATTTCTCGGTTCTCTGTTATTGCAGGTAATGTGTATTTTTCTATAGGAAAACATAGTTCATTTCCTCATGAATTAGATAGAATACCACTAATTATCCCCCCCCCCCCCCCCCCCCTAAAAAAAAAAGAAGAAAAAATTACTGTCATCTCTTTGTCAAGATGCTCCAGTGGGATATCCTAGGTTCTCCAAAATACCATTGAAGCTTGGCTTACTATTTAATCTTCTTGTCCTCTATTTGGAAGTCATAAGCTGACTACCAGGTGCTTGCTGAAGTCCCTCACACATGTGCATGTAAAATTGCAGGTAGGGAGGAAATCCTCCTTAGGTTGTGAACTGAGATTCTCTCTCATATTTAACTGGTATATTAGATCATCTAAATATCATGCACAGACGTACTTGATAGTTTATGAAGCCCCCCCTCCCCGTTGTCTTTTATGGGTCAGATGCAATTGAAAAGGATTTTTCAGCTTTTGCTTAATATGTGTACATTTGGATTGAAGGTTAAAGCTTACACTTCTAGTCCAGTTGCTGAGCCAGTTGCAGCCTAAGTACCAAGGGGCCGCCGTGATGGATGCATAATTTATAGGATTTTGCAGCAGTTTCCAATTGGCGCTTGATGGCCGATCTTAACATGTGCACTAGTCTAGAAAGAAGTTTCTTGTTCGACCTTTCTTCAAGAGCACACATACATCAGTTGCCTAAATGAGTGGCCGAGAAACTCAATTTTGTTTTCTAGTCAGTTAGCATTTAAGCCTGTGGTATATATAGGTTGAACTTGGAAATAAGCAACAATATACGAAGAGTGATTTTTGTCTGGACATTGACATTGTATAAGTTTTAAGTTACAATTATTTGCTTATGCATGAGCAACGAAATGGAATGTGGTATTTGTCTTGGCATTTTTTGACCTATAAGTTACTGTAATCTATTATGCGCTGCGCAAATATGGTAAAAATTAATAGGGCGCCCCTTTTAACCTGTACCCGCTTTGTCTTTCTGTTTGCACCCATACCCACTTTTTTGTTAAAAGCCATTTGAAAAGACTATTTTACCCTTTTTTGTTAAAAGACTACTTTCTCTCCAAGTATACGCTAGTGCTCTACTGTTTCTCTCTCCCGTTATTTGCGTTTTTCGATTTGCTCTTCTCAGATATCAAACGGTTTTCGTCGTTCTTTCGAATTTTTAACTGCTAGTCGTCGTTGTTACCATATTACGATTTAATTACAGGTACATTGCATTAACTTTCTGGGTTTTGTTTTATGATTTAATTTCTGGTTTTGGGTTTTGATATTCATGTATTTATGATAGGGTTTAGTTTGATAGGTTGTTCATGTTGTTAATGTAATTTCTATAAATTCTTCTGTGATTCGACGTTCAAATTTTTAAAAAATTTCAGAGTTAAACAGATGATAATGATACTTTAGGATAGGAGCTGAAGTTTTTTTCATGTTTTGGCATTATTTTTGGATTTGAATTTGTGTTTT